CATCACTATCACCACCTACACTATCACCTCTTCATTACCACTTTCATAACCTCTTCCGTCGCAACCGCTACACACAACTATTACTGTTACACCCCTATTACCACTGTATTACAACCACCACCACAATAACTACGTCCATCACCACTACACAACCATCACCATTACCACCACGCTAACTACATCCGTCAACATACAGCCACTATTACCACCACCACAGTAACTACAGCCACCACCATCATCACGACCACCAATACCTCAATAACCACCACCACCATAACAGCTATCCTCACCACCGCTATCCTCACCACTACAACCAACACGACCACAATCACTACAACCAACACGACCACCATCACTACTACCACCACCACCACACACCACACCACCAACACACACCCACCAACACAACAACCAACCCCAACACCACCACCACACCAACACACCACAACCAACCACCACCACTACTTTCCACCAAGCATCAACAACAACTTTAAATATACAGCGCAGCCACATGAACACATTAAATACAATTTACAAAAAACTCAGACAGGAATCGCAGGTGCAACACAATTCTGCATCCACACAATCCTAATTAGAAGTCCGTTCTAAGGCGCAGAATACGTGAGCAATCAGTCCGTCAAACCACCGGTCAACTGACTCGTCAGTACCAAGCCTGCAACACACAACAACACGCCATGTACATGCCTTAAATGTTAGATAAATGATGCAGGCTTTACCAGGTAAACCTAATTAGCAACTATCTTTTCTAGTAAAAGTATTATAACCTTGTAGAAGTATGTTAGCGAGGCGAGCTCCGATGTGAAGTTTGTTCGACTTAAACTCAGTACACCGGAATGGTGTGTGTATAGTACAAGAGTGTTTGTTTCTTGTAATAAAGTCGTTTGGGTGGTATGTGGAGATTGTGTTGAGTGGGTCACGTGTGTTGTGTGTAGTGTGGATAGCATGTGTGTGTGTGCTTGTGTGTTGTATGGTGAGGTTTGTTTTAGATTGTTTTTGTGAACGAATTGTTTCATCGAGTTGCTTTGCGAGACGTTGAGATTTTACCTACCTCGTCAACTTACTTAAAATTACGTGGGCTTATAAACCGGTGTTTTGTGGCTCCTGCTTGTGTATGTTTGGTGTATTGTAGTTTACCACCTCCATTTCCCGCCGTCGTGTTGTAAATTTCTAATCCCGGTTTAAACACTGAAGGTAAGTATTTCCTAACATCCTTTTCTCCCTACGTTTTCATTCTCTCGTACTTTCTTTGCTTCCATTTATGTCCTTTTGCCCCATGTGTCCGTCCCTGTTTTCTTTATCGAAACCTCTTGCTATCTTATGTCGTTGCTATAGTTTCCCGTATTCCCGTATTTCCCATAATCCATGCTGGAGCTGTATATTCTAAGACAAGTCCGGCACACGTAGTTTCTTGAAGGATTCTTTATGGAGGTTTGTGAGGAAAACTCTAAGATTCACTGTCATTATTGATGTTATGCGGTTTATGGGTGGATGGGTAAGCCAGTGGAAGCTCCAGTGGTTGGTCATCATATGACCAAGACCTTCGTTAGGAAACGCTTGTCCTGTTTCCTTACGAATCTTACCTAACCTAAGTGGTGATATGTTCGGTCTAGGTACTCACAACCTACTTGTTTTATGTAACGTTTCTTCAATTAGTTACATTAATGGTTATAAATGACCATAATTTTTAAAGGGGTGGACCGGTAAGCCAGCGGAAGGCCTCGGTCAGATGACCAAAAGCTCCAAAGGCGGGTCATCATCTGACTAAGACCCGCGTCAGGAAACATTTGTCCTGTTTCCTGACGAACCTTACCTAACCTAACCTTCAATTAGTTTGTATACTGTACTTCAAATGGTCTTCCTTCATTCTCTCTCATTTGTAATGTCCTGCATTTGTCTGGATCCAGTTCTAGTAGCCACTTGTTTGATGCAGCCTGTCCAAATCTTAAGAACATGGGAAGTAGGCCTATTAGTCCAGGCAGGTTCAATTCATACACAGCCACACCAGCCCTTATACCCATTCAACCTGTATCTACAAATACCTTAAGTTCTCGCAATAATGACGCTACCTGGAGTTTGTTCCAATTATCTACAACTCTGTCCTCAAACTAGTACTTACCTCTTTACTTTCTGAATCTAAATTTGTCCAACTTGAATCAGTCGCTGCGAGTCCCGTCTTGATTAGATACTGCAAGTTATTAATGCCCCTTTATTCCTGTTTCCGTTTGTACGCTTTATTCATGCCCCTCCTAATTTTACATCTTTCAGTAGAGTGTAAATTCAATGTCTTCATCCTGTCCTCCAAGGAAAGGTTTCTGATACCTGGTATCAACTTCGTCATCCTTCTCTATATATCTATATATCTCTATATATTTATATCTATTCTGTAATATGGAGACCAGAATTGAGCAGCGTAATAAAACTGAATATATTCTAGGACTATTATTTATAATTCATGATATGAAGTCAAGAATCCAATTAGCTTTATTGCGAACACTTAGGAACTGTTGTCTTGGCTTTAAACTTCTGCTAACCAGAACTTCGAATCAGTTTGACTTAGCTCTTCATTATTTAGCTTATAAATGCCATAGTTATTTTCACTTCCTAGGATTGGAACCTTACATTTATTTGTAGTGAACTGTATCTGCCACTTCTCCAACCGCATCAACCTATCCTGGCCATCCTGCAGCTTTCTAGTGTCCTCGTCAGAATTTATCTGACGGCCTATTATAGTGTCATCTACAAACATGTGTCTCTATTTCCTCATCTACGTCGTTTACGTTATTAAGAAGGGTCCCAATACTGACCCCTGTGGAAAACCACTTGAAATGGGGAGGTCTCCATTCTAATTCCTCTCATTTATGCACACACTGATGCCTGTCTGTCAAACATGACTCCACCCAAGAGAATTTCTCTCTCATTCTGTGGTGCTTTCTTCATAAATCTCCCGTGTGGTACTTCTGAACGCCTTACTGGTCCATGTACATAATATCCTATTCTTTATCTTATTATACTGCCTCGAACACCATAGTAACAAAGGTTAGCAAATTCGTATGGCAAGCACGCCCTTTTGTGGAGCCGTGTTGAGCTTCATTGATCAAATTATATCTTTCAAGGTGGCTTCAAACTCCATCCGCTATTACTGATTCCATCAACTTTCGTATAATTGAGTTAGGGTGATTGGTTTGTAATTAGAAGTTAAGGATCTATCTTCCGCTTTGTAAATGGATATCACCTTTGCCTTTTTCCAATTATCCGGTACCATACCTGTTTGTATTGATCTGCTGGAGAGACTGGCTAATGGATCGCTAAGTTCCTCCTCACGTTCCTTCAGAACCATTGAATACAGCTCGTCAGGACCGGCAACTGGTTGCAATCTATCAAGTTGCCTGAGAGGTTCGATAGAAGAAGTGTTTTAGCAAGGCTACAACTGCTAACTGTTATAAAGGCGTACTGATAATCGTGGCGGAGCCCAGACTGTCCGTCTGCTAGGCCTGGTCAAGTCTGAAAGATGAAAATTAGACACATGTTCAACATCTGGGTATCTTATTGTACGGTACTCTTCAACTCCAAGGCTGAGGGAATGCTTATCTCCTTTTTGTATACAGTTTCACTGTCTTCCAATTATGACATTGAATCTGTATTGATAAAGCCACTAGATGGCTAAACGTTTACAATAAAGATACCAAAATGTTGCACACGTTTAATTTTTAATCTTGTCGGTATTGTATATTAATGTACAAGTCTGAGAGAAAGACCTCTGGCCGATGACTTACGTGCATAGTTCAAAAGGGAGTCACGTGACTAGGCTTGGCCAGGGAGCCTTCCTATAAAATCGAGCTGTAACGATATTTACCACACAAGTATTAAACTGTTGACAGAACATGTCGCAAGTGATTTTAATACTAGATAATTTAGTAGCCTTCTGACCTCTATAATTATTGATCACCCGAATTTGTATCCTGCGTAAAGCCAAAGGGCAAATAAAGTGTTAGAAAGTGGTACACAATTGTTTGTCACTAAGAGTAAGCCGACATGATTTACATATAAGTGGACCTATCTTTTTCTTAATTTTAGGATTATATTTCTTAAAGAAACCCTCTCTATTGGTCGTCGTCTTTTTTATAACTGATCTCCAGCCTCCAACATTCTCAGTTCCTACTAGCATCACGTCACCAGCAAATAACATAAGAGCTGTTCTTCCCTGACAGATGGCAGGATATGTACACTGAAGTGTATGATGCCTCTGTGTGTATCTTAATACCTCTTTTGAGCTTGACTGGTGTGAACAGGTGACGTGCAGCTTTAATGGCCCTCGTGTAATCGATAGGCTTTTAACCTCATTAAGCAATCAACCAACTGACGGATATTTTGATTAAAAAAAAAAAAACCAAAGGCCTCTTATGCCAAGTCACGGGGAATTTAATACCTTCCTGCAGTTCAAGAAAATGCAGTTGACTCATCTTCATCTCTTGCCCGGGGTGGCAAGGGAGGGATGTGGCGGCAGTATGGGTGTGTGCGGGAGCACAGACGGGCATGAGAGGCAACGGGTTGGGTGTGGGCGGCAGCACGGGCGGATGTGGGAGACAGTATGGACGGGTGTAGGAGGCAGCACGGGCACCTGTGTGCGGCAACACGGGTGGGTGTGGGCGGCGGTCTGGGCAGGTGTAGGCGGCAGCCTGGGCGGGTGTGGGCGGCAGAGCGAGCCGTAGCGGAGCGGCCGTGGTCGGGTGGGTAAGAAAAACCATGTAATTACCTCTCATACATCTGGGGTGAGTGGGCGTGTTATCTGATGGGCGTGACGTGTGGGGCCACTACCAGACCTGACAGTGGGCGTGCAGCCTCTGCTGATGTGTGGCCGCCGCCCCGCCCACACCCACACTCTCACTCCACACAGCCTAACTACCAGCAACATGTACGTAAAATGGTCATCTATAGACACTGTTTTCTAACATCGTTTTTTTTTTTTGTCTTCTCCGCAGATCAAAATCTGGTTTCAAAACCGCCGAAGTAAATACAAGAAATTGATGAAGGCAGCGCAGAGTGGCAGTGGGCCCAGCACGCCCATGGGGGCCCCCATCACCCCGGGTTCACCCCTCGCCGGGTCCCCGCTGGAGGGGTCATCCCCTCTTGGGCAACCTCTACCCTCATCCACCCCTCAGAGCATCTCCCCAGCGCCCCCCACCGCCCAGAGCCCCCCTTCCTCTCACCCATACACCAGCATGAGCACAGCCAGCACCCCACACGGGCCCTCGTCCCAGGGGCCCTCACCATCGGGGCCCTCACAATCGCAGCAGCAACAGGGACAACAGCAGTCGCAACAGTCGTCGCAGCAGTCGTCTCAGCAGCAGTCTAGCCACACTCCGTCGTCCCAGGCGGCGACGTCCGTCAGTGACCACCTGCCGCCTCCCCTACCCTCCTCCCTGCCGCCCTCTGCCTCCTCTCCCGGCCTCGCTGCTCACCACTGGGGGGACATGAAGCCGCCCGTCTCCGTGCCCTACATGTACTCCTGGTACGCAGCAGAAAATCAGCACAACTTGCTCACTTAAGTTCTCTCACACGCCACCCACCTGCTGTAGACTGTTGCTTGCCCTACTGGGAATGTCCCCCACATTCCCCTTCTGCTCTGAGGAAGCCAGAGCTTCCCAAGACACCGTCGCCCCTTTCCCGCCGCCGACCTTTTCCTAGTTGACGTCGAAGGGCGGTACACGGAGACAGTCAGGTGAATAAGACGGTTACTTTATTCCATTGTATCCGCGAGCATGAGATATGCGGGAAGTTTACTCGGAAACGGCGAGTAGTGCGCAATCGTCTCGCTGAAAGGTGACGCCTGTGTGAGTCTCACCTGTCACCATTACCAAAGATTCCATTCAGTTGTACTTAAGACACTTGCCAAGCCCAGGACTGTCAGGAGAGTTGTACACACCCGAGCGCTGACCCATGATCACCCAGACACCAACCAGCTCCTCCTCTGCTACACTCTATCAGGTGCTGTTCGCCACTTCTCTACCTCCCCTCTCCTAACCCTCTCCCCATGTGAAGGGCTCTAAAATGGACGAGGTGTCTTGCGGAACTCAAGTGACGATAAATAAGTTGTTCTGAATCAGATAACAGTGGCAGACAATCTGTTGATTCGACGTGAGCTGTGAGCCAGGGTTTGCTCGATTATGGGGTGCTAGACAAAGAAAACTGTGTGATACATTGACAATCATTTGGTAACGTTCCCTTCTAAATGGGAATACGGTCGAAAGTGGCCGAGGGAAATTACCTGTGCTCTGGTGTGCATTGTACTAGTGAAGTGTGCATGTGCATATCAGTATATGGTGGCTCGTACAAAACCTGAGTTTTTTTTTTTTAGCGTTTAGCGTAGATTTGCTGTGTTCTAGAGCATCGACGAGTTACAAGAACTTTTGACAGTGATGTCAACAAACTGTGCCGAGTTGGAGAGTGTCGAGCTTTAAAGTCTCTGGAGGAATACATCTCCACACAGATAACAATGATGACACGTCTCTCGGTGGGGAGGAGCACATGACTGGATTCACTGTCCCACGTATGCCCCTTCTCTCCCTCCCTCCCTCCCTCCCACTTATGTAAGCGACAAACTCGGCTACTGGTAGGGTCATCAGAACACACTAGCTCCCAGCTAAAGACGGCCCCTTCTCAAAACATGTTAAACAAGAGCTAACGGAATCAGCAATTAACAACAAAAGAAAAATACAAACACAATAACCAGCTGCTCTCTTGTCCAGAATCTTGCAACGTTTTCTCCCCATTTTTATTTTGATAAAAGCAAATTTTAGTATTCAAAATAAGTCTCTTTCTGTAGGCTTCTTCGTTTCACTTAGATCTCGAATTGTCTTTATATTGTGTTTCCATGATACTTAAATAAGTGTTGACATATTGGTTCGATCCTCCCTTAGCTCTCGTTGACTTGTCCTTGGTGAAATGGGAAAGACCTTCTCCCACCCCCATCCCTCCACTCCATTGTCCCCTTTACCTCCCTCCTCTCCATTATTTTCTCCTCCCTGTGCTTGCTGCTTCATAGGACCCATATTCGTAGCGTTTGGTACTGGTTGGTGTAAGCCACAGCAACGTTGACATAGAACGCTGGAGAAGTGAACACATAATTAAAATAAATAAATGATAAATAAATAAATAAATAAATACCAAATGCACTCGTAACTTTGGGCAATATAATGAGTCTGAATGAGAGTGTCTTTAGATAACTATTTTTTTTAGGTTATCGATGGCGTTTCTCCCTAGGTTCTGGGCGTATATAAACCTGTGTTATATTCTCTCAGATCACACACAGAACACACATATCAGGAGTGGAAGGAGTCCTCTCACAGCGAGGACCATACCTGGTAACACCCTGCATTAGGATACTGAAACATATTAGTTCCCCATGACGCTTGAGCTCAAAGAAAGCTATTGGTCAATCTTATAGAGACTTCACAGCTAACCCACAAACTGAATATGAAACTACATTACGTTTCGGTTCGTCCAAGACCATTATTAAATCTGGGACGGTTCAAGAAGTCTTCTAACTTCAAATCCGATTTGTGCGTAGAATATGAATTGTTCTACCCACGGTATTGTGACTTTTATTCTTATTACAGAAACTATTACAACCGTAGCGTTACGTGACCTGATATGCCCTTTCTCTCCTAATGTGGTTTACCTTCAAATGAGACTGTTTGCATTTTGACATGTATGTAAACTATGTGTACATTGTGTGTAAGTGTTGTACCTTATTCATGAACAAATCTTAAAACAGTCTAAGCTTTGCCTAAAGCTGATATTATTTTCTTAAAACCCCTGTTACTCTAAGAAGATTAATAATGTTAAATATACTGGTATACACCACTCCTTTGTAATTATGTTTTTTTATGTATTTAAATGATTCATATTTATTGCAAATTTGTGCTTTTTTTTTATCGACGATTGCTGCAAATTTTTCTTTTAAAGGAAATTATATGTTTTTGTTTTAACATTGAGTGGAATTTGTACATTAACATTACCAAACGCTGAGAAATGCTGTAGAGTTAGAATGAACTGTTCAACATGTTCAATTGGTCATGCTGTTGTACAGATGCTGTTTTGAATGGCTTGTGCTGTTCACCACGACGCTGTTCTATACGGCTTGTGCTGTTCACCACGACGCTGTTCTCTACGGCTTGTGCTGTTCACCACGACGCTGTTCTATACGGCTTGTGCTGTTCACCACGACGCTGTTCTCTACGGCTTGTGCTGTTCACCATGGCGAAGGTGGCAATGCTGTTATGCTGTATGAAAGGATATTGGTTGCCCCATCCTTATGTTATTTTCTTACCTCTGTGTGTACCTGTGGTGAACACCGGTGCTGGAACTGGAAAATCCGAACGCCGGAGTCTGTACCAGAAAATGTGAACACCGGTTTTGAAACCGGACAGTGTGAGCACCGACTTCGAAACCGGACAATATGAGCACCGGTTTTGAAACCGGACAATATCAGCACCGGTTTTGAAACCGGACAATGTCAGCACCGGTTTTGAAAACGGACAATGTCAGCACCGGTTTTGAAAACGGACAATGTGAGCACAGGTTTCGAAACCGGACAATGTGAGCACCGGTATCGTAACCAGAAAATGCGAACACTGGATTTCAAACTGGAATATTAATAGAAATTGTTTCAATCGTGAATGAAACTCGTAAAAAAAAAAAAAAAAAAGAGTTGCTATTCTGAGATTGTCATTGCAATACGTTGTGTGTATTATTTTAATATGTTCATGTGTAATTTTTTTCCCTTGTACTAGCAAATATGAGATTTTAGGGTAACACAATGTTTATTTTTCGAATATATAGGAAAGTGGGTAAGTTAGACTGGTGTTATTTTTTTTTGTTATTCTGAGTATTTTTTACAAGCACTTAGATTTTTTCTCTTTCTTTCCATCATTATTATTAAATCTGGAAATTAAATTATTGCTGATAAGTGATGTTAGTATTACAATGACGATAATAATATCAGTATTAGTACTACCACGATTATAATTAATATTGCTGTTATCCTCAAACATTATTATTATTTATGTAAATGGACACAAACATAACGTTCCTAATATAACGTTTTTAAACGACTGTATAGTCACCGGTAACTGTGTTAAACCTAACATAATATTTAGAACGTTACACGAGTGTCTATATACCCGTTTTATTGTCGGTAATTTTATATTTTTCTTATATTATTTCGTTAGGATGTTTCTCAGGACAGTAATGCTCACCACGGTACCATAGAGTTTTAAACGTAGTACCCAAACTGACTCTACTGTGAATATGTCTGTCTGTTCAAGCCATTCGGTGTCTCCTTAGTGAGAAATGATGTAATGTTGAAAGAATTAAAAACGAAAGCAAAACCATTATTTTTTTTTATTTATGCCCTCAGATGGTTATTTTATTTGTTTCAGAGGGAAACTGTAGTGAAAGATTCCAGAGATAATCTGCTACTGATAATGCAATAATTTTTGTTGCTGATTTCAAAGGCAGAAATGATAATGAAGGACTAGTAATGCTCTGTGATCATACATGTTTACATACCTAAATAAATACATTCACCGTATGTGCAAAATCTTAAGCATGCGCAGAACATAAGCCAGCAGTCGTAGCCCAGTGGTTAGAGTCGCGCCTCTGACCATTGAGGTCCAGAGACTGGATCCGCGGACAAAAAAAAAAATCATACGTGTATATATATAAAACTTAAGACTTCCTTATTAGCATTATCATCGGACGTCACATTTCTGATAAGATATAAGAAAAAAGCTGAGGTATAAACCAGCTAACGAGGTGTTATTTATAAAAGTCAACACTGCAACAGGTGTTATGGAGTAAGGCACTTATCTAGACATGCATCAAGGCAAGCATGCACCAGATAATAACTTGCTGAAGACGCCATATTGCTTAGAAGTGTCATTATTAATACGTTATGATTTAACCTTAGTCATTTTATAAACTCTAGAGACTGTTGTGCATAAAACTTCCATAATATCAGTAGTTTCTGTTTGTAAACAATCATTAGACAATCAAAGTTATTAAGATCACACTTCTTTCGCAATTTAATGTTCGATTTGAACAAACTCTGAGCCTCTTGACTATGTTTGCATGCTTTTTGTCTTGAAGATGCTGCCACCTGATTGGCTGATTAAATATATCCACTAACGAGGTGTACAGGTGTACCAGGTGTAACAGGTGTACCTGTCGAAGAAGTGGCAGCAGTTTAATATAGACAAATGCAAAGTTCTAAATGTTGGACAGGAAAATAACCATGCCACATATAAACTAAATAATGTAGATCTTAATATTACGGATTGCGAAAAGGATTTAGTTCTGGTTAGTAGTAATCTAAAACCAAGACAACAGTGCATTAGTGTTCAGTGAACATCAAAATGGTATACAATACCGACAGGTTGGTAGGTAAGACACATAGGCAACAGTTAGGCAACTTTATTCCGAAACGTTTCGCCTACACAGTAGGCTTCTTCAGTCGAATACAGAAAATAGGCAGGAACAGTAGAGATGTGAAGACGATGTAATCAGTCCATCACCCTTGAAGTCGTAGAATTTGGGGTTGTCAGTCCCTCAGCCTGGAGAAGTTCAGTTCCATAGTCAGGAACTGTCTGAAGATCAAGCGACAGTGCGGAGACTTAAATATTGTCGGAAGGAGAGGTGCAGAGTAGTAGTAGTGAGAATGTAGCCACTGAGAAGTCATGTCCCTCTCAGATTCAACAATTCTCACTTGAAAAGGTTGTCCAAGGTGTTTTCTGTACCAAGATGCCACGTGTTGTGATGAATGGTTTGAAAAACCGACAAGTTGAAGATTGAGACACTTATGCAGCATATGGGAATCTTTATTCAGGAAACGTTTCGCCACACAGTGGCTTCATCAGTCCAATACAAAGAGGAAGGCGTAAGGAGAGGAGGACTATGAGGTAATCAGTCCCTCAGTCTGGAGTCGATGTGTTCAGTCCATCAATCTTGTAGAATGTACAGCATAGGGCCGTAGACGTGGCTTATATACTGTGGCTTATATGCTGCATAAGTGTCTCAATCTTCAACTTGTCGGTTTTTCAAACCATTCATCACAACTGTCAGACACTGCAGCATCATGGGATCTTGTTACAAAGAATTCTTCAACACTTGTTCAACCTTTGGACGAAGACCTACTTCGACTAGTGGATGGTACCACTATGACCCCGCCTCCGCCTGCTTCACCTCACATCACTACAGTATATAAGCCACGTCTACGGCCCTATGCTGTACATTCTACAAGATTGATGGACTGAACACATCGACTCCAGACTGAGGGACTGATTACCTCATACTCCTCCTCCTTACGCCTTCCTCTTTGTATTGGACTGATGAAGCCACTGTGTGGCGAAACGTTTCCTGAATAAAGATTCCCATATGCTGCATAAGTGTCTCAATCGTTAACTTTTTTCCCCCAAAATGCCTGCGGCCAGTCAAAACCAAGGCCCGATGTAAGAAAGAGGAGCGTGACGCATGCGGCCAGAATCTCTCATGCGGCTTCACATCAGTAATTTGCGGTCGGAACTTGATGGATGCGAAGCTATGGAAGATAAAAACAAATTCACTCTCGTACTCTTTAAAGAACGTGAACTGCATTCGGGTCTTGATCCAAGAATTAGAAGCTCTCCTCCTTGGATCTAACCTGATTCAATCCCATAATCCAGACGCTGAATTACTCCCATATAATAATAATAATAATAATAATAATAATAATAATAATAATAATAATAATATATGATGAGAATGTGTTCATTAAGAGATTCACAAAGTTACTTTTACAACTTTTCCTCTAAATTTACAATATATCATTTTCCTTGTTTTATGTTGGCTTGCGTTAGGTTAGCTTTCGTTATTTTACAAGCTATTAAAAAATCTTTAAAAATAATAAATAAGCGTAATTAAGAATAAAAATCGCGACGTCTGGCAACGCGGTGGCCCAGCAGCAGCAGAAGTCAAGGTTCAAAACTGCAGGTTCATCTCTCACAGTGGGGCAGTGGGTGACACACTGGGTGTGCCACCCACTGTTTGTATACATTTAGGTTACATACAACAGTTCTCGAGTGCCCCTTGAGGTGTATATCTGCCAGTGTACAGTCAGTCCTTTTAAACACAGAGGTTTCTCTGTTGGAACAACATTCAAACAGGAAACTGATAAAGGCATCTTAAACAGTGAAAAATATAACATTATAACGTCTACCGCGCTCAGTGGCTGCCCGTTTTCTGTTCCCACTGAAGAGCTTTTTACGGCCTGTCTCATATTTTCATTTTTTTTTCCCGTTACGGATAGAGGACAACCCAACGTAACCTGAATGAGAATTGGCTGCAAACTGTGTGTGGCAAAGCCGCATAGATGATCGTGGGAGTTAAGATGGGTTGCAGTGTGTATACACACAGTTTCATTCCTATTTTAGGAATTAGATTTTCTATTATCATGGGGAAGCGCCAAACCCGTGGGGATTATACAGCGCCTGAGGGGGGAAGGCATTCAGGCTTAATTCAGAGAACTGGAGCACAGATCCAGTTCCCTAGACCAAGAGCCCCTCACTAGCATCAAGGAATCTCCCTTGAGTGGAGAAATTGATGAATTCTTGTTTGGTGGTAAATAGGTAACATGCGGCCTTAATGACCACTTGAGTAGTCGATACGATTTAATTTAAATTTACCAATCTGCCTTTTTGACGAATGGTTCCATGAACCGAGAAGCTTTTGTCTCTCAGTGTATATATACACTGACTCAGTGTTTATATACACTGACTCAGTGTTTATATACACTGACTCAGTGTTTATATACTGAGAGTATAATTAACATATTAGGGATTCAAGTATCCTTGACTGAGGATAAACAGGTTACACAAAGCCTCAATGATCCTCGTATAGTCCCTAGGTATTAAGCCCAATTAATAAACCCTACTGAAATATGTGACCATCAACGAAAATAAGAAGAATGAAGGAACATGGTAGGCAGGTCCAATTCACACACACACACACACACACACACACACCACACACACACACACACACACACACACACACCCGAAGTTCTCACCTTTATGACGTTACCCGGAAGTTTATTCAATTAAGCTACTACTGTAGTGACAAGCCATTACTTTTTAATATCCTTGACTCCTGCTGCTCTCTAAGTGGGAGAATGCCAGGTAAAATATTAAAGCTCAAGTGATCTCTTGATTCATCTAAACAAACTGGACTGTAGATCCATACTGTTGATTGGAACTAAAGAATTAATCACATATTTTCCCCTTTCCGGCAGCTTAAACACTCCAAGGAAAGTCTTGAGGCAGGCGAAGGTCTTTTGACCCAATAACATCGACCTGCTCATCCTTTCTTTTCTCTCTCATTCTCAGGCACACTGTATGACCCTTATGGGTTATAGAAAGAAGCCAACAGCCTATTGTCGATACTTAAATTGTTCAACATTAAGGAATCTATGAGAATTACAATGTTATGAAATAAGCAAATGCAAATCGACCTAAGCTAAGGATGCTGAATTTCCTTAAACTTAATAATTAGTAATCTTGAGGTTAATGACGTTTATGTGCAACATAAATGCTCAATCAACGTCTCTTCTGCTTTTAAAATTACTGTAATATTTGTAATATCAGAGGCACAAGATAGTAATTGACTATCTGCATAACTACATGAGTAAACTTACAGTTCAATATAAATTAAAAATATTGTATAGTGCCTCCCTCGCCACATATATATAACTGCTTATAGAATACACAAATAATCCGCACATGGGAGAATAAAAAATGACAATGTTTCGGTCCGACTTGGACCATTAACTGGTTATACACAAGCGCGAAGTGAAGGGAACCCGTATATATAGAAAAGGAGGATGGTGCCAGGAGAACGAAAGGACTAGTTCATATTGCGGGTTATTTGTGTATTGTTCCAGTCACTGTATTGTGCATTTTTATTCTCTGCTTATAGAATAGTTTGAGCCATGGCATGTGTGTGGCACCGCTGTATCTTATGCTATACTGAATAATAAGCAAGCGTAGGAACTTTCTACACCTAATTAGGGGGCAATTGCATCCCGATTTATAAAATATTCTCTGTGCAAATAAGAAATCAGGTAAAGATCTAGTCAATACTCGACTGCATAGTAAAGCATTCCCAGCAGTCGACGAGGTGTGGAGCTGCAACAATCAACTGTGTTCACCACTGGCCACCACGGATGTGAATTTAGTCGACTTTACATGACTGTTAGTAATTATTCGTCTTGTTACTTCACAACTGTTTAATTTCCATAAGAATATTGCCAACTTTCGGTGTGTGTACACTCACCTATTTGTACTCATTTGTGGTTGCAGGGG